GGCTTTTTTTTTTCTTCACTATAGCTCACAGAATTAGCTGTCACTTTCCCTGGAGCTAAAGGAAACTTTGTTTCTTTTAAGAAACTGAAAGGAAACATTGTTTCTTTTAACTCCGGGAAATAAACTAAAAGGAAACTTTCTTTTAGCTCAGGAAAAGGAAACTTTCTTTCTTTTAGATCATGAAAATAAACTAAAAGGAAACTTTCTTTTAGCTCCGGAAAATAAACTAAAAGGAAACGTTCTTTCTTTTAGCTCAGGAAAATAGACTAAAAGGAAACTTTATTTCTTTTAGCTCAGGAAAATAAACTAAAAGGAAACTTTCTTTTAGCTCAGGAAAAAATAAACTAAAAGGAAACTTTCTTTCTTTTAGCTTGGGGGAAAAAGTGACAGCTGATTCTGTGAGCTATAGTGAAGAAAAAAAAAAGGGCTGGTAAATACATTTAAAAACCGGCACTGGCCTATAGTGACAGCAACTTTTTTTACTTTTTTCTGACCTCCGGAACGGATTAATTAGTTTTCAATGCATTCCTATTTTTTTTTTTGGTTTACGAATTTTTCGCAATACGAAACGTCCCAGAGAACACATTAAATTCATAAACCGAGGTACACCTGTATACTGCATGTACATTAAGGATGGTGGACCAGTAGCTAAGTGACACCAATGATTTTTTGGTATTTTCAAGCACTTTTATCAAGCTGAAAGAGTGGGAATACCTGCATTGACCAAGGCACAGAAAATCCTGTTCGTATTCCATTCTCCCAGCTGGCATTTAGACTCCATAGATAGTTGAAGTCAATGGGTCACCATAGAAGTTGATTTACTAAAGCTGGTTCACTCAGAATTTGGTGCAGCTGTGCATGGTAGCCAACCAGCTTCTAACCTCAACTCATCATCAGTGAACCAGCTTTCGTAAATAAACCCCAATGGACCAACATAGGGGTTGATTTACTAAAGCAGCTTCTTCAATTAAACCCTTGGCACCGCCACCTCCTGACCCTTTAAGGGGTTTTAGATGCCAGGAGGAGGGGCAGGATTTGTGATCATGTGACCGCTGTGAATGGCTGTCACAGTGGTCACATGATCGGAAAGCTCCAGGTTGCAAGTAGAGATCAGGAGCTTTCCCGTTAGCCGCTGGTGAGTGCCCAAGGTGAGCACCCACCAGCAGCTAATGGGAAAGCTCCCACCAACGGCTAACGGGAAGAGTGCAAAATCTGAAAGAGCTGTGTATAGAAACCAATCAGCTTCCAGGTTTTATTCTAAAAGCTTAACTCCTTCCCATTGGCCGCACGCATATTTTCAGCCTCTCAGCTGGTGGGCCTTAACACCTGGAGGTCGCATAAAAAACAAACTGTGCAGAGAGCGCTCACCTTGGGCACTCACCAGCAACTAACGGAAAGCTCCTGATCATGTGACGACTGTGACAGCCATTCATGATCACAAACCCTGCCCTCCTCCTGGCATCTAAAACCCCTTAAAGGGTCAGGAGGTGGCGGTGCCAAGGGGTTAATTGAAGAAGCTGATTGGTTACCATGCAGAGCTGCACCAGATTTTGCACTCTCCACTTTTTTGTAAATCAGCCCCAATATATTGCAGCTTACAGTCCATAGATGTGGTGACTGCCCTAGTTTTCTTTTTTGTTTTAATACCAAGAGCATATTCAGCAAATACAGAAAATACCTGTTGATCCTGCCAGAAATGTTGTGTCTTTGTCACTTCCTGTGAAAACTTCTTTCCTAGCTGTCTGCTGTAACCTAAAAATAAAATATAAACCCTCTTAGTGTTAGTGAATCTTCTCAATTCCTTCGATGTAATAATCCAAATGTATTGTATTGTCGACTTAGACCCCTTATGAGGAAGTTGGAAGTGACGAAACGCGTCAAGTGATGTGACATCGGACGTTACAGATTGACCGGAAGTAGCGGAGCGGCCATCTTTACTAAGGTGATATCTACACATGCGTTCCTGGAAGCTACTTGGAGATCCTGTCATATGGGAATACATACGTTTTTACTATTATATTGATGCATTCGTAATTTATTAAAGCCTCGACTGATTCATTTGAATACTACACTATATAGTCCGTTCTTTCCTTCTGGGTGGTACTTTATGGACGGTCTTGAGAAGTTGTCAAGGTCCTACCTTTCTTGTGCATCTCCATGTGCTGACGTCCATCTTGGGTTTCTACAAAGCATGGTGGGAACCTTTATGCCTTCAGGCTTTTGCGGCTCCTCCTCAGAAGGGTGTGGCTCAGCACATTTAAACCTGCTGTCTGCAAGTGCCCTCTACATTCATGTCCTGTATGTTCCCTTGTCTCAAGCTCTTGTGCTGTTCCCGTTGCTCTCCTGGTAACCGACTCGGCTTGGACAAGACTATTCGCTGCTTTGACCCTTTACTTGACCTCCCGTTGCTGAACGCTGATTATTCTTTGCCTACCGTCTAGTACTGTCTGCTCCGTTGTTATTGACCCGGCCTGTCTGACTACGCTACACGTGTTCCCATCTAGCTCCCACCAGCTGTACGCCATTGGCGACAGTCGTTACTGCAGCTGGGGTCACTCGAGGGCCGCGACCTGGTCTCAGGCTGCGTCAAGTCCATCCCCACCATCAGGGGCCCTGGTGAAGGGTAGCCTGGGGCTTAGACTCCGCGCCCTGAGGGACTCTGGTCTGTGGGTAGTGGCTGTCGTCAGTCGCGGCGTGACCGTACCATAGGCCTGCCTGCCCATTCCATCGTTCCTGCCCTGACAGAAGTGTATCCTATAAAAATATATAGTGTTGCGCTCCCAAACCTCCAATCAATATATTATTATTTAAATCACTAAATCTCTATTATAAAGAACACAATAATTAAGAATGATGTGTGTAATTAATCATAAATTCTAATACTCATATACTTAGAATCAATTCAGATAAACCATGTGTATAAATCAAACAAATATCAAATAATAAAAAAAATATATATAAAAATAAAAAATAAAAAATAATAGATAATAAATATAAAAAATATAAAAAATAAAAAATAAAAAATAAGTGGAAATAATGTCCCAAAAAGTGACTTTGTGCTGAAAAATCTTCAATCTATAATGATTATAAATCGGTGACTGCTTGTGAATCCTCCCTCAATCCTCCCTTAGGGGTGTGACTGTAACGTCACTCGGAGGAAGTCAGTTAGTTTGCCGGACCACGGGTACACAGCTCCGACAGTCAGCGGTAGTTTTTGGATCGTATTTGTGCTACCACTATCCGTACACATTACATGTGAGTGCCATACCCTAAGCAAATAAAGTCAATCTTTATAAAAGATAAAGCACCATGTCGAGATCTTTTTTGTATGTGAGAACTGCAAGGAGATGAATATATAAAGGAATTGCACCCTCTGGAGAGGAGGTTCACCCCATAGCATATGTCGTATACCATGGATATCTTAAAGCAGGAGTTCTAAACAAGCAGGTTCCAAAGGAGGAGAACCGCAAGCTTATATAGCCTAATTGCAGGCTTCCTATGAGGTGAGCGCACATCTTCACTTGAGGGAGGATTCACAAGCAGTCACCGATTTATAATCATTATAGATTGAAGATTTTTCAGCACAAAGTCACTTTTTGGGACATTATTTCCACTTATTTTTTATTTTTTATTTTTTTTATTTTTTATATTTATTATCTATTATTTTTTATTTTTTATTTTTTTATTTTTATATATTTTTTTTTATTATTTGATATTTGTTTGATTTATACACATGGTTTATCTGAATTGATTCTAAGTATATGAGTATTAGAATTTATGATTAATTACACACATCATTCTTAATTATTGTGTTCTTTATAATAGAGATTTAGTGATTTAAATAATAATATATTGATTGGAGGTTTGGGAGCGCAACACTATATATTTTTATTTCGCGTTTTGCCACATTGGTAGTTATGTGCTAGAGGTTTGCGATCCTACTTTAAAGTGTATAAATAAGGAGTTTTTGTCTTTCTGGCTCGCAAGATATTTCAAATATTTTAGAAGTGTATCCTATGAGAGCAACTTTATATCATGCTTGAGGATAAGTGATAGTCCGATATTTTGCACAGCTATTATGGAATTTTTGGAGATTGCGTATTGGGAAAATTATCCTAAAGGCTTTTGTTTATTCTATTTAGGGTATACGGTGGAAGTCGACAATGCACTTGGATTATTACATTGAAGGAATAAGGAATTGAGAAGATTCACTGACACTAAGAGAGTTTATATTTTATTTTTTGGACTTTCAAGGGTGAAAGTATTACTTTTTGAGTGTCAATTTCAGGGTTATTGGTTATTTTATTTTATTTGGACACCGGTTTTTGATTTTGTATCTTCTGAAACCTACCAACTGTCCTGTCCCACGTGTAATGGATATGAAAAGACAAGGATTGGTTTGTAGTCCATATCAGGAGAACAGCCTAGAGGGACAACCATGACTTCCTCTGTAGATCAGCGGAAGAGTGACGTAACCACCAAGGGACAGGAAGTGTGTTATTTGCAGAATCACCATGTGAAAATAATGCAAAAGAAGCTTATTTGGGTTTTTTTGCCACCACAATAAGGACTAATAATTAGCTGCAATATATTACATATTTGGTTCTGGGTTTAGATACACTTTAAGCTCTACCCACCCATTCTATATTAGTCTATAGAACCCAGTATATCACCTGTGCTTACAACAATCATACAGTGTCTCTCAGAAGTGAGTCCCCCCCTCACATTTCTGTAAATATTTGATTCTCTCTTTTCATGTGACAACACTGAAGAAATGACACTTTGCTACAATGTGATGTAGTCAGTGTACAGCTTGTATAACATGTAAATTTGCTGTCCCCTCAAAATAACTCAAAACACAACCATTAATGTCTAAACCGCTGGCAACAAAAGTGAGTACAACCCAGGGGCGGACTGACCATTTGAAAACTCAGGCACTGCCTGAGGGCCTGGGGTCAGTAGGGCCCCCATGAGATGCCCCTGGTACCTTTTTCATAGGCTTTTTTGAGTTTGGGCAAGGACACAGAGGCCCCATGATCCCCTATTGCCCGGGGGCCCCATGAGTTGTCAGTCCGCCCCTGGTACAACCCCTAAGGGAAAATGTCCAAATTGGGCCCAAAGTGTCAATATTTTGTGTGGCTGCCATTATTTTCCAGCACTGCCTTAACCCTTTTGGGCATGGAGTTCATGAGAGCTTCATAGGTTGCCACTGGAGTCCTCTTCCACTCCTCCATGACAACATCACAGAGCTGGTGGATGTTAGAGACCTTGTGCTTCTCCACCTTCCGTTTGAGGATCCCCCACAGATGCTCAATAGGGCTTAGGTCTGGAGACATGCTTGGCCAGTCCATCACCTTTACCCTCAGCTTCTTTAGCAAGGAAGAGGCCATCTTGGAGGTGTGTTTGGGGTCATTATCATGTTGGAATACTAAAGATACAATCAAATATTTACAAAAATGTGAGAGGTATACTTACTTCTGTGAGATACTGTATATGAAATATGTATCACAGTCTTACGTAAATGCTAGTGATAAAATAAAAATAAAGCTTATACAACTATAAACATCAATAGTCCCAAGGTCATATATCAATGTGGGCGGAGCTACCACGCATGCGGAACCGGTGGCCATCTTGGATACTGGAATAATGACCTGTTCTTATGTTTGTAAATGCCGAATTGTGTCCTTCACCATGTGAGTGCAATTTCTATTCAATAAACTTTATATCTTTGATGGTTTTACACTATGTGGATACATCTTTTATTGCATGTATTGCGCCACAAGTTTTCGTTCCATTAACTTACCTGGGAACGGTTGGATCTATTGGAGGATCATTTATCATTTCCTTGGGTGTCTCGTATATCTCCCCTGATGATACCAATGATATCCCACTAAGCGCAGATTGACCACTCTTAGCAGGGGGTCACATGCCCTCTGGTAAGCCTTGCATGTGAGTGGATGGTGTCACACTGGCTGTCTGTGGATATCTTCTGGTCTCACCAGGGTTTTGGGACTGCTTTATTCTGATTCCACCATATGATTATACCATTTCTGGACACTTTGTGATTAACTTTTATACATTTTCACATAATATCATCACCATGATTAATTAATTTTGTTTGAAATATTTGAGCGCTGCACTTTATTTGAATATCATATATCAATGTAAATGTCAGGGAATCATCACCTGGGAAAATCATTTTCCCTGATGAAGTCATGTAGGGTGTGACGTAACGCGTGGGAGGAGCTGGGTGTCAGACGTCACAGGAGAGCTGGATAACGGCTGTGCAAATCATTTGTTCTTAAAGGAGCATTTACTATTGATTTCATCAGAGGGGAAAGAGTCTGGAAGCCTCTTAAAGTGACATTCGCCATGTGTCCTGTTGATGAGATGAATTTTTCTTTAGACGGAGAAAGGAGGAAACAGAGACTATGACCAAATCCCCAGCGGAGAAAATGCCTGTATAGGCCTAATAGCATATGTTCTAAGGTCCACAGTTGGAGCAGTGGAGGTGCATTACAATAAAGGTGATGGGATTCACGTCAGTGCCAGATCTAGCCCATCTTGTCTGGGAGTGCACTAAAAAAAAGTCAGGGGGCATAATGCCAACACTGTGTGTGAATCACTGAAAGTCTGTCACACAGTGTCCTGACCTGGGAAACACTAGTATGCATTAGGCTGACACAGAACCTGTCCTCCTTATATCAGATGTCCCTGTCAGAGTCCCCCTTGAAATCAGGTGTCCTCATCAGAGTGCCCCTTTACATTGTGTTCCCATCACCTTGCCTCCTTACATCAGGTGTCCCCATCAGAGTGCCTCCATCAGAATTCCCCCTTATGTCATTTGTCCCCAACAGAGTGCCCCCTTACATCAGGGTCCCCATCAGAGTGCCCCTTATATCAGCATCCCCATCACTGTGCCCCCTTTCATCAGGGTCTCCATAAGAGTGCCCCCTTACATCAGCATCCCCATCACTGTGCCATCTTACATCAGGGTCCCCATCAGAGTGCCCCCTTATATCAGCATCCCTATCAGAGTGCCCCCTTACACCAGGGTCCCCAGCAGAGTGCCCCCTTATATTAGCATCCCCATCACTGTGCCATCTTACATCAGGGTCCCCATCAGTGTGCCGCCGTACATCAGGGTCCCCATCAGAGTGCCCCCTTATATCAGCATCCCAATCACTGTGCCCCCTTATATCAGCATCCCCATCAGTGTGCCCCCGTACATCAGGGTCCCCATCAGAGTGCCCCCTTATATCAGCATCCCAATCACTGTGCCCCCTTATATCAGGGTTCCCATAAGAGTACCCCCTTACATCAGCATCCCTATCAGAGTGCCCCCTTACACCAAGGTCCCCATCAGAGTGCCTCCTTACATCAGGGTTCCCATAAGAGTGCCCCCTTACATCAGCATCTCTATCATAGTGCCCTCTTACACCAAGGTCCCCATCAGTGTGCCTCCTTACATCAGAATCCCCATCAGTGTGCCCCCTTACATCAGGGTCCCTATCCAAGGGAGAGAAGGCATGTAGAGTGTATACCTGGTGGCAGATGCTCCATATTCTCAGTGGTAGGAGAGGAGAGAAAACGGCGGGGCTTTGAAATCTCTGCCGCTTTCTCTCCCCTCCTTGCAGAAATGACAGTTCAGGCTACAGAGCATTTGATTGATCAGCACTGTGACATGGACAGTGCGGACCAATCAGATGCTGTCCAGCCTGTACTGTCATCCCTGCAAGGAGAGGAGAGAAAGCCACCTCACAGACCTGGGGAGGTGAAATCCCCGCCGCCTTCTCTCCTGTCCTTGCAGAGATGACAGTACGACTAGACAGCATCTGCTTGGTCAGCACCGTCCATGTGATGGTGCTGACCAATCAAAATCCCTCTACCCCGAACTGATTGAACTAGATGGACTTTTGCCTTTTTTCAGTCAGACTAACTATGAACTGTCATCCCTGCAAGGAGAGGAGAAAAAGTGGTAGGGATTTCAAATCCCCGGACCCGTGAAGCGGCCTCCTCTACTCTTCTACTGCTGAGAATAGGGATCATCTGCTTCCATAGTCTATATTCCCGCACGCCTACTCTGCACTCAGCATGAGATCCCTACAGAGAGGTTTCCCGCACCTCTCCAGTGCTATGACACGCCTGGGTTCACACAGGAGCAGTGGGGAAACCGCATGCAATCTGGACAGGAATCACAGTCCTCTTCAAATCGCATGCTAATCTTTGTGGTGCAATTTGTATTGACGCAAAGTATCGGTTTCTGGTATCGGGAGTATTTTCACGAGTGCGAGTACTTGTGAGAATATCTGGTATATGTGGGCAGCACAGTGGCTAAATGGTTAGCGCTTCCGCCTGGCAGTGCTAGGGTCATTGGTTCAAATCCCAACCACAGCACCACCTGCCTGGAGTTTGCATGTTCTCCCTGTGCCTGCGTGGGTTTCCTCCAGGTACTCCAGTTTCCTCTCACACTCCAAAGACATGATGGTAGGTGAATTGGCTCCTGTCTACATTGTCCCTAGTAAGTATATGTATGAATGTAAGTAAGGCACCTTAGATTGTACACCCCTTGAGGGTTAGGGACTGATGTGAATGTACAATATATATGTAAAGTGCTGCATAAATTGACGGCGCTATATAAGTACCTGAACTAAATCAGCACAGATATTGGTATCAGTGCATCCCTAATGTTTTTTATATATGATTGTTGTACACACAGGTGCTATACTGGGTTCTATAGACTAATATAGAGGGAGCGGCAATTTTTTTTTTTTCTATTCACTCTGTGTGATGTGAGCAGCACCCTAGTCATAGGTTTATAAATTGTTCTATTCCATTTCTTATTTATTTGATCATTTGCACAGTGGATAAATGGTTAGCCCTTCCACCTGGCAGCACTAGGATCATTTGTTTGCATCCCAACCACAGCACTGCTTGCCTGGTGTTTGCATGTTCTCCCTGTGCCTGTGTGGATTTCCTCTGGGTACTCTTGGTTTCCTCCCACACTCCAAAGACATACTGGTAGGCAGGGGCAGACTGACAACTCATGGGGCCCCTGGGCAATAGGGGATCATGCAGGGGCGGACTGACAACTCATGGGGCCCCCTGGGCAATAGGGGATCATGTGGCTCCTGTGTCCTTGCCCAAACTCAAAAAAGCCTATGAAAAAGGTACCAGGGGCTTCTCATGGGGCCCCCTACTGACCCCGGCCCTCGGGCAGTACCCAAGTTTCCAAATGGTCAGTCTGCCCCTGGGATCATGGGACCCCTGTGTCCTCAGCCACACTTAAACCACACCCACAAAAGCCTATGAAAGGTACCAGGGGCATCTCATGGGGCCCCCTACTGACCCTGTCCTCCCACACTTCAAAGACATACTGGTAGGCAGGGGCAGACTGACAACTCATGGGGCCCCCCGGGCAAAAGGGGATCATGGGGCCCCTGTGTCCTCAGCCACACTTAAACCACACCCACAAAAGCCTATGAAAGGTGCCAGGGGCATCTCATGGGGCCCCCTACTGACCCTGTCCTCCCACACTCCAAAGACATACTGGTAGGCAGGGGCAGACTGACAACTCATGGGGCCCCCCGGGCAATAGGGGATCATGTGGCTCCTGTGTCCTTGCTTAAACTCAAAAAAGCCTATGAAAAAGGTACCAGGGGCATCTCATGGGCCCCCTACTGACCCCGGCCCTCGGGCAGTACCCGAGTTTCCAAATGGTCTGTCCGCCCCTGGGATCATGGGGCCCGTGTCCTCAGCCACACTTAAACCACACCCACAAAAGCCTATGAAAGGTACCAGGGGCATCTCATGGGGCCCCCTACTGACCCTGGGCCGTCGGCAGTGCCTGAGCACCCAAATGGTCAGTCCGCCCCTGCTGGTAGGTTAATTAGCTCCTGTCTAAATTGTCCCTAGTATGTGTATGAATGTGAGTTAGGGACCTTAGATTGTACACCCCTTGAGGGTTAGGGACTGATGTGAATGTACAATATATATGTAAAGTGCTGTGTGAACTGATGGTGCTATATAAGTACCTGAAATAAATAAATATGTGGTAATTGGGAAGAATTCAGAGTATTTAGTTGTTCAAACAGAAGGCAGCGCACTAGGACATTCATTTCTTTTAGGCAAGACAGTGTGAATGCAGAATACTGAAGGCTGCAGTGATTGAAGCAAGCTGTCCTCGTTAAACACAGGTACCATTTTTTTTTTTTTCACCAGTTGCAGA